TGCCGCAGCAGCCGCCACCCGCTGCACGTGGGAAGGCCTCCATTCAAATCAATGCTCTGCTACGCGCCCCGCTTCTGCGAAGTGCGCTGCGGCCGCGCCGTGGGAAGGGGCCCTAAGGTGCAGCCTGGAAACGCCCGTCGACCGGCGAGAATCAGCTGACAGCCACCCTTGCTCGTCACTACTACCTGCCACGTCGAGTGCGGTCGCCTAGAGGTAGCAGGGACGTACCGCTATTCAACAAAGCAGTAAGGACATAATCGGTGTTACTAGTTGGGGTCACCGCCCACTTTTTCCTCGCCAAAAACGCGGGCGAGATTGTCAATGAAAAAAGTGTAGTTTTAATGAGATGGCAAGTCATTTTTTGTGGCAGGAATAGAACCGATCTATTTAGATTCCAAGAAAAATAATGAAAAGTATCATTCATGTGCATGCTCATATTCATTCTCATAATTATTTTAATTGTTCATTAAATGTGTTATAAAAGTATATGTGTTATTAGCCTTGCAATTCTGCATCCAGAACATCCCGGGAGATTACAGTACGTTAAAAATGTAAGTGCCAAAAATATATATTTTTTGAAAACATCGAATTTAGCTAGCATACCCGGAAGGTGTCATTTCGACTCATTAAGTACTGACCCTATTGTAGCTTCTGTTTCATGCATTTCAACGCTGAATATTTTCACGTTCGTCTCGTATTTCGGATACGTTCTGAAGAAATATGAGTGCATTCCTTCCAGTTTGAATTGTTTTCTTGGTTTCTAATACAATACATGCAAGCTGATGAATTGTATCGTGACAATATAGTAAATATTTTAAATATAACGAAACACAAATTACGTAAAGGAATAGCATGGTTTTCATATGAAAGTTGAATGACAAAATATTTCTCCAAATTATTCAATAAAGAGAAACGTGAAAGTTTAAAAGACAACTTTCGCGTATAGGTGGGCATTTGGGACTTAAAATGGCGATGATGTGGCCACATATACTACTTGTTTTCTAGACATTCTGTCCTGTCAAGATTTTCGAATAAATAAGCGAGGTTGAGAAGAAATCACGTTCTGCTTCCATCTGAAACATTATTTTTCTTTAGTAGGAAATGTTACATTTACAAACCAGTTACTATATTGTTACTCGGTGTAATAGTTTACAAGTAGGCATTTTCCCTTAAGTCGACGTATTCAGTTCACGGCAAGTAAACGGAACGAATACAGCATTTAATTATGGCTTGTGGTAATTCCTGTCACTAATTCTTGTTGAGCGTCGCTAAAAAGATGAGTGATTCTTTTCCATACAGTAGAATTCCATGGAGAATTGTAGAAGGCAATGAGACGAAATGCCTGAAGCCATTAACCACCATGTATCAGGAAATGAAGCAGGTGTTGATCTAAAAGCCAGGTAGTGTTCTCAAAACGTAATTGAAAACTGTGGTATGTACAAGACAAATATTTTGGATCTTTCAACTACATTGTGAGCATAGTAAAGTCAGAAATATCTAAAGTAAATTCAATCAAAACCTGAACAAGAACTGATAAGTACAAATTGAAACAGTGGGATCAAATACCTTTTAGAATTCTGTCAAGTAATAGACAAAAGTTCCCATTAGAGTGTAGCAAAAATACGAAAAAGAAATGTCGAATAAAGTATGCGAGAAGTGGGAGACAAAATGGTAAGTTACGCACGTACAGCAAAGTAATGTTTCTTGTGTCATAAGTGAAATTACTATTATTTAAAATTATATTTATAACATTTTTATATTGTTCATACAGCAATTTAATTCCTAGACAAAAGTTTACTTCTCAATGTATTATTTTTACTTTCTCATTACGGAGTAGAGAGAGTTATATAATGCTACGCGATAAAAACGCGAATTTTCAGCAAAATTCACAAACTATTATAGGGCCATCTTAACAAACAAACAAAAAATGTAGATAAACCCAGTTGCTAAATTTTGGGGAAAAAATCCTCTGACACATAGCATACTAGTCAGAATCCATGTTTAGTGGCTACTTGTTACCGAAAAATTGATAACGTCTATGCGTGAACAACACTAGCGTCTAAACTGTTCAGCCTATTTTTCTCCAAAATTGATATTCCCCAATCGATATGGCTGATGTCGCGGTCGCTCGAATGTAAAATCGATACTTAATTTATGGGTACTTTACACAAAGCCCGTGGGACACTTCCCAAATTTTCAAAAAAATGACTCCATTTTCTTTTATTACATTTTGTTGTTGGATAGTGTGAAGGACGTTTAAGAGAATGGTAAAGGTCTCATGTTCGTTGAAAACGCAGATTTTCAAAAATTGCACAAGTTCAGCACGTTTTTGGTGTCTTCCTACAACTACAATATTAAAGAAAGATTTTTTCCCTTGATGAAATAATGTTAAAAGATAGATTTTGATATACGGTAATGTACAATTTTTCGAAAATTTGAGTACTTTTCGCATAATTTTGCTTGAAAATACGAGCGAGAAAGTACATGCGTTTTTAGCACCATTAGTTTCCATTTACTTGTGCCTGCTGGTCAAGATGTTCTTGCAACTTCCATCCCACAGTACAGCAATGGTAAGAAACGTTTAAAATATATTTAATATGTGGGTAATTCTTCTATCATATAATAAATTACTATTTTTAATGTGTGATAGTAACTTAGACAAATATTTTTGCAATATTTCTTTGTAAGAAATATCTTTGATGGCTTGGAGTCTAAACGACTTCCTTGGGTGTTCTAGGGGGTATTGGTAAGCTGGGCATTCCAATGTTAAACTTAAAAAATGCAGAAAATACAGAAAATGCACTCAAATACTTCTGAAATAAAATAGCGTGTAACATACTTCACTGCATTCATGATGAACATGGATTTTAAGGATACCTTAGATGTTAAGCAATGCAGAATAATAAACTTCAATTTGAACATTTCTGTATTGTATCTTCTACACAATGCACATTACAATTTTTTCATGGTCAATTTTTAAATACAGTAAGTAGTAATAAAGGAATATACATTCTGTTTAAACCACTAAACTTAAAAGTTTTATATACAATTCCAATTATGGTCTTAATTAATAGTTTGTAATTTCACTTTCATTCTTTTCAATCACAACTTTTTTTTCCAAACAAATTAGTTACATATATCGGATAAAATTCCAGAATTCAATTCTTTTTGAATTTCAGATCAATTTAACAACTTTTAACACTGACACCCAATCTCATTACATTTATTTACATATTTCAATAGCAAATTTCACATTAATTACACATATATGTACATTGTTACACTTCAATTGAATGGACATTGCAACAAAAATGTTCTTTGTAATTCAATATTACTTTTTTCTTTTCTTTTTCTTCATATATCCTCATTCACTTCATAATTGAATACTTTTAAATATTAAGACCAGTTAGAGAATAGTTATCATTTTTTCAAATACATTATCTCCTGCTGTACATTTACATTACTTTGAAATACATGTACTTGAAAATGTATTTTTTCTTTCATAAATTTGCAATTCCATCAACTTCATTTCATTTATATACATTTAAAACCTAATGTGGAAAATAATGTATACAACCATTAATTTATTTACATGTTAGTGAACTACTGGGTATATTTACAACTCTTAACATTTTATAAAAATTTACAATCTTCACATTATTATTTACATATATAATAACTAATAGAATCAAATATATATACACAAAAATGCATAAGGTTTTGAATATGTACATTTCCAATAAAGCATTGATTGCACTTTTATCATTTCCAATCATTCCACTATGGCATATCACATGCACAATTTACTTAATAAATCTAATACAAGTGCTTTTATAAAGAACACCGATAATATGAATTAGAGAAGACAGAAAAATGAAATATATTTAATTCTTCTGGCTTCAATGCCCCATATTCCAAATCCCATATTGCCTATCTTCAACAATAAGAGAAGTTCCAAATTTTCTTTTTAACAAACTATGCTAATACTCTTATGCCCTTTATATGATCATTGCTCAAGCAATGTTACTTCCTCTCTATATTCATCATTCCTTCAAATAAGCTTAGTCAACTAGAGCTTTCATTTCTTTGGCCAAACAAATCCTTTTACAAGCCCAAAATAGCAGACCATAACAATAAAATTCCGACTTATTGAAATTAATTTTGTAAAATGTGGGTGTGATGCAGCGTTGTGAAAAAACACATGATAACTTTCTGAATTTGCACCATGTTTTAAAGGTAATGTGACTATCTCTAAAAAATGACTTCACACAAATACTATTAAAGCATTTTTCATTGTAAAATTATTTCACCATGCTACAGATATTAAAATTTTATTAAAGGTTTTTGGGTTTAACAAATTTCAATAAAGCCTTTATAATTACATAGGCCATAATACACATGTTCTTCTGAACAATGTCTGAGATCTCTTTGTTCAAACATGCTTTGACTTTTTCAATCTTTAGCCAATCTTATTGACTCTCCAGTGTCCTTTTGCTCTTAATGAGACAAAACCAAAGTTACTATCATTAACTTTCAATTGCCTGATCATCTAGGTTACAAAACGTGAAGCCCTGTAATAATAAATATACTACAAAGAATTGATTTGTAGGTACATAAAATACACTAACTTCAATGCAGTTTTAATTTGCATGTTAAATTAACACTCAACTTCACTCTTGCATGATTGTAAATAAAAATAAATAATTTTATATGAATTTCTAATTATATTTTAAACAATTAATAATTGAAATGGCATAATCTATTTAGCCCAATGTGACTTAACCTCTATATAACATTGAAAAATTGTTGGATCTATACAAACACTTAGTACATTATAGTACACATAACAACAAATTTTATATTCAATAACATGGTGATAACAAACAACAAAAACAAAAAAATAACAAAAAGATTGGTTGAGAGACCAGCAGAATGAAGACAGAATTCACTATCAGTTTCACATTATTTTCTAAGAACAGAAAAAATGTGTACACCACATACAAAGATTTAGCAGTGTGAAAACATTTCAACCAAGAATTTTATTACTTGTTCTTGCAAGCAATATGAAAATAAATCATAATCATGATATTTAAAAAGAATATGCTCATTTTTCTTTAACCAATACATTACATGGTTATAAACTGTACTTTCTTAATCATAAAATAAAGCTTTATGGTTTATATTACAAGAAAATTGAATTGGGCATGCTTCGACTTAAATTTAACAAAAAATAACTATTTACAATATTTTCTAAATTAAAGTTCTCAAAACCTTCTAGAGATGGCAATTGTCAATGAATTTCTAGGTACCATTTCTCTGATTACCAAAAACTCTCACAAACTGCTGAATTTAGTAAAAATATATTTTATATTCAACATATTTAGCATGGGAGTAAAGTCATTCAGGTATTACCAGGTGTTCAACATACACACTGCATACTGATTCTATGCCAAACCTTATTACAAATTGTTAATAGAATACATCTACAAGAGACAAAATACAATAATATACAATAATGTTTGCGATGAAACAATAAAAATTGAAAATTTTAAATATGAAGTAAAATCAAAACCAAGGTAATTTTTCCTTCAGAAGAAAGAAACTGAAACAGAATTGGCTAACAGCATCAAGCAAAGGTACTCACTAATTCCAAAGGCCTGCATATTTTCCAAATGTACAGCAAGTCCAATAATGAACATGTAAAAAATGAGATAAACAAGTAACTTCACCATACCGAGATAAAATTATATTAAAATTCAGATCATGTGTAAAGGTAAAGTATAAATAAAAATAATATTTTCAATTCTAAGAATTGTAAGTTAAAAGACAACTAGACTTCAAGCATTTGTTCTGATAAATAATATATTGATTTAATTTTTTTACCAATTAAATAATTTTCTGGATAAAATATGCAGGAAAATGAATTTCCATTTTTAAAAGCAGTTGTGTTTCTACTTGCAAACTTAGGTGTAGGGACTGTAAAATAGATCACTATAACAATTGTGTGTTTGTCAAAGCAATTTACCCTACTTATGGGTACAATTACAAAAACATCACTGTGTCTAGATCTTTAACACACCTTGGGAGATGATTGACCAAAGCTAAGAAAGGTATAGTTTGATTAAACAAAATAGATTGAAAAATAAATCTCACCTCTTCTCCTCAATGTCAAGTCATGTTAACATTTTTCTCTTTCGTGATTTCTTCTTCTTATCCACAACATGTTCTTGCTTCTTTTTAACTATACAAACTCTGCAATACCAATCTTCATTTTCGTCAGGTGGCACCTGAATGCCCACACAAACCCTAGAGAGCAAAATAATAACAGGAATTAATAATAATATATCTCTCAGAACATACAACAATATTGCTGTCATATTAAAATTATAAAATAACCATTGAATATTCTTACAAGTCCATTTAAAATATTTTGAAGTAAATAAACTAAGTATTTGTGTAAACAATTTTGAATCAACGAATGTGTAATTATATTTATTTGCAATCTAAGAGAAAAATTTTATATCCCATCATTGAGCTACTGTGTTACCATTCAGAAACATACTAATTGTGTTAAATACTAATAATAATTAAAGCTAATTAAATAATAAAGGATCATTACAAAGTGCCATTAGATTTTTCTGAGGAAATAAACTTGATAAAAACATAACTGCACAAAGATGAATAGACCATCATTCTGCCATGATGAATATCATTGTTCTTCAAAACTACGAAGCAATGAGAAATGAATTTCTCCAATGGGACATATTTTGAAATGAAGATTTAAAGATTCAAGCCTCTAATAAATTCAACATCTAATTCCAGACCAAAATAATATTCAGAGAAACATGTTAGTTTTAAGATTCTGGCATATAATGCACATTACAGTAGTTAAGGTTGATAGAATACAATTAATTTAGAAATATAGTAAATTAGATGTTCTCAGTTGTTTCATTTATACATTGTTTCTTTCACTCACCAATGATACCATGCATCACAATCATCACAACCAATCATAGGGCTGCCATCATCTTGACCACCACATGCTGGGCAAAACCATACTTTTTGTCCTTCGTTATCCTGCAGAACAACAAAAAGCAATCTCCCACAACATTTGATTTACAAGAAATACTTAATAACATCTTATCCCTAAAAATGTTCCAATTAATTGATGAACTGTGTAATTATTTTCATTAAATTGGGTGGAACTGGTCAAGAACTTGTTCAGGTTTGAGATTATTAATGCAAAGGAAAAGGAAAAAGAGTAAAGGATTGCAAAATGGTGGAAACAAAATATCTATATATTTAGCATAGAAGTTTCAAACAGTGAGCTGCTCTCTTCCTAATTTGCTTCTCCAAATTCGAATCGCTTCAACTAATTTTTCAAAAACAATAAATACACAATATAACTTTTTCTTCA